AAGGGGCAAAAAACAAGCATTTTTCTAGTTTCATGACAATAACTTGTGTGTAAGTGTATGGATCTCTCTGACATTGTATCACAAGGTTCCATATCACAAAGGGAATGCTGGGATTGATTTTGGGGGTAATTGCCTCCAAATTTTAGGAATTAGGGGTCAAAAAGGGGCAAAAAACAAGCATTTTTCTAGTTTCATGACAATAGCTTGTGTGTAAGTGTATGGATCTTTTTGAAATTGTACTACAAGGTTCCATATCACAAATGGAAAGCTGGAATTGAGTTTGGGGGTAATTGCCCTAAACGTTTAAGAAAAAGGGGCCAAAAATAAGCATTTTCTAGTTTCCAGACAATAACTTGTGTTCAAATGTATGGATCTCTCTGAAATTGTACTGCAAGGTACCATACCACAAAGGGAAGGCTGGGATTGATTTTGGGGGTAATTCCCTCAAAATTTTAGTAACTAGGGGCCATAAAAGGGCAAAAAAAACAAGCATTTTTCTAGTTTCAGGACAATAACTTGTGTGTAAGTGTATGGATCTTTATGAAAATGTACTGCAAGGTTCCATATCACAAAGGGAAAGCTGTGTTTGAGTTTGGGGGTAATTGCCCTAAACGTTTAGGAATTTGGGGCCAAAAAGGGGCCAAAAAACAAGCATTTTTATACGACCGCAAAAAAATTTTGTGGTCGTATATTGGTATGACGTTGGCGTCGTCGTCGTCGTCCGGCGTCGTCGTCCGAATACACATTGGTTTTCGCACTCTAACTTTAGTTTAAGTAAATGGATCTTTTTGAAATTTGACCATAAGGTTAAATACCACAAAAGGAAGGTTGGGATTGATTTTGGGGGTTATGGTACCAACAGTTAAGGAATTAGGGGCCAAAAAGGGGCCAAAAATAAGCATTTTCTAGTTTCCAGACAATAACTGTGGAACGGTGTATGGATCGCTCTGAAATTATACTACAAGTTTCCATACCACAAAGGGATGGTTAGGATTTGCTTTGGGGGGTTATGGCTCAAACCGTTTAGGAATTAGGGGCAAAAAAGGGGGAAAAACAAGGTTGTCCTGGTTAATGGACAAATACTTTAGTACAAAACATAATTTAAAGCAGTGTAAGGGAGATAAATCAAATACATCATTGAAATTATCTCCCTTACACTGCTTTTAAATTATGTATAAAGTAATGGTTAATGAACAATAAAGATAATTTAAAACAGTGTAAGGGAGGTAATCAAAATACAACGTTTTGGTTACTTCCCTTACACTGCTTTTAAATTATGTTTAAAGAAATGCATATTTATAAAGGAAGACCAGTAAAAATATCTGCAAATGTTGCATCTTTTTTTTTTTACAAAAAAATCCATATGAAAGATTTGACACTATATTTTTAATTCTATTATAAAATAGATTAAGTTAGCACTATGGTAAATTTAAATGGGTAATTATGGTTGCCAACTCCATTGGAAATTTGAATTGAGATTATGACCATATCTTGAGGGAAAGAATTTTTTGGGGGAAAAAAGGGGGGGGGGATAAAAAGAAATTGTGGGGGGTCAATTTTTTCTCATATCAGATTTCAGAAATTAAAAAAATTATTCTTCAAATATTATTTTTTTTTCAAATTTCAAATATTGAAAAATTTCAAGAAGAAATCTTTAATTGCACAGTATGGCGCATTAAATTTGTAAAATCTTTGATCACATTTATTTATTTGTTATGCCGAATCCAACAGTGTATTTAGATTTTTAATTTTCGGTCCAGTTTTCAAATTGGTCTACATTAAGGTCCAAAGGGTCCAAAATTAAACTTTGTTTGATTTTAGCAAAAATTGAATATATGAGGTTCTTTGATATGCTGAATCTAAACATGTATTTAGATTTTTGATTTTTGGCCCAGTTTTCAAGTTGGTCCAAATTGGGGTCCAAAATTGAACTTTGTTTGATTTCAACAAAAATTGTATATATGGGGTTCCTTGATATGCTGAATCTAACCATGTATTTAGATTTTTTATTTGTGGACCCCGTTATCAAGTTGGTTCATATTGAGGTCAAAAGGGTCCAAAATTAAGCTTTGTTTGATTTCATCTAAAATTGAATTATTGGGGTTCTTTGATATTCCAAATCTAACCGTGTATTTAAATTTTTAATTTTGGGTCCTGTTTTTGAAATTGGTCTACATTAAGGTCCAAAGGGTCCAAAATTAAACTTAGTTTGATTGTAACAAAAATTGAATTATTGGGGTTCTTTGATATGCTGAATCTAAACATGTGTTTAGATTTTTGATTATGGGCCCAGTTTTCAAGTTGGTCCAAGATAGGGTCCAGTATTTTAACTTTGTTTGATTTCAACAAAAATTGAATATATGGGGTTCTTTGATATCCTGAATCTAAACATGTATTTAGATTTTTGATTATGGGCCCAGTTTTCAAGTTGGTCCAAATTGGGGTCCAAAATTAAACTTTGTTTGATTTCAACAAAAATTGAATATATGAGGTTCTTTGATATGCTGAATCTAACCATGTATTTAGATTTTTTATTTGTAGGCCCCGTTATCAAATTGGTTCATATTGAGGTCAAAAGGGTCCAAAATTAAACTTTGTTTGATTTTATCAAAAATTGAATTATTGGGGTTCTTTGATATGCCATATCTAACCGTGTTTTTAGATTTTTAATTTGGGTCCCGTTTTTTAAATTGGTCTTCATTGAGGTCCAAAGGGTCCAAAATTAAACTTAGTTTGATTTTAACAAAAATTGAATTCTTGGGGTTCTTTGATATGCTGAATCTAAACATGTGTCTAGATTTTTTATTATGGGCCCAGTTTTCAAGTTGGTCCAAGTTGGGGTCTAAAATTAAACTTTTTTTGATTTCAACAAAAATTGAATATATGGGGTTCTTTGATATGCTGAATCTAACCATGAATTTAGATTTTTTATTTGTGGGCCCCGCTATCAAGTTGGTTCATATTGAGGTCAAAAGGGTCCAAAATTAAACTTTGTTTGATTTCATCAAAAATTGAATTATTGGGTTCTTTGATATTCCAAATCTAACCGTGTATTTAGATTTTTAATTTTAAGTCCCGTTTTTTAAATTGGTCTACATTAAGGTCCAAAGGGTCCAAAATTAAACTTAGTTTGATTTTAGCAAAAATTGAGTTCTTAGGGTTATTTGATATGCTGAATCTAAACATGTGTTTAGATTTTTGATTTTGGGCCCAGTTTTCAAGTTTGTCCAAGTTGGGGTCCAAAATTAAACTTTGTTTGATTTTAACAAAAATTGAATATATGGGGTTCTTTGATATGCTGAATCTAACCATGTATTTTGATTTTGGACATTGGACCATAATAGGTAAATTAAAAAAAAAGTTCTTAGACCACATTCTTTCTGTGTCAGAAACCTATGCTGTGTCAAATATTTAACCACAATTAATCACAATCCAAATTCAGAGCTGTATCAAGCTTGAATGTTGTGTCCATACTTGCCCCAACTGTTCAGGGTTCGACCTCTGCGGTCGTATCAAGCTGCGCCCCAGCGAAGCATTTTATTCTAGTTTCCAGACAATAACTTGTGTTCAAGTGTATGGATCTCTCTGAAATTGTACTGCAAGGTACCATACCACAAAGGGAAAGCTGGGATTGAGTTTTGGGGTGATGAAACATAAGGGGGTTCAAAAAATTAGGGGAGGGGGGGGGTTCCTTTTTTTTGGTTTAAAATTTCCATTTTAAATTGGTTATTTCTGATTTATATATAAAAGCAAATAATAATGATATGGTTTGAATAGGTAAATTAAAAAATTTTAAGTTCTTAGACCATTTTCATTCTGTGTGAGAATCCTATGCTGTGTCAAATATTTAATTACAATCCAAATTCAGTGCTGTATCAAGCTTGAATGTTGTGTCCATACTTGCCCCAACTGTTCAGGGTTCGACCTCTGCGGTCGTATCAAGCTGCGCCCCAGCGGAGCATTTTATTAAAATTGGAGTTATTTTCATATAAAACAATTCTTCCAGTCAAACATATATAACAATTTGCATTTAAGTATTCAGAAATTGTTTTATATTCCAAATATAACAGCTGCTCCTAAACCCCCTACCAGCAGAGTCAGGGGAGGTGAATTTTTTGGATAAAAGTTAAGAACTACCTTTTCCTATGAAATGTTTGTATAAATCATTTAACAACTTGTTGGAAGCCCTTTTCTCCAGGTTCCATTTTTAAGTCGCCATATTTGCCTCTTGGCCTTGATTAGCTTCTAATTGCTGAATCTGCCCCTTGACCTTGGTAAGCTTCTAAGTTGCTGAACCTCTTTGACCTTTGTAAGCTAAGTTGCTCAGTCGTCCCCTTGACCTAGATTAGCTTCTGTTTCCAAATCTGCTCTTTGACCTTGATTAGCTTTTAAGTTTCTGAATCTGACCTTTTAACTTCATTAGGTTCTAAGTTTCTGAATTCGACACTTGTTTAGATTATAAGTTGCTGAATCTGCCCTTAACCTTCACTAGTTTCTACCCCATCACATCTCTTTCTTAACATTTTACATTTGACATTTAATACTAGTACTGGAAATATGGTAAAAATAGATAGATTACACTAGAGTAATCAGACCTTATTTTAAAATTTTATGGCTGCATTCCAGACCCCCCATGCAGTTTTCCTCATGACAGTCGTGTATTTCTTTACCTTACAATATATATATAACAGGGTAAGATCTGTTACTGAAGTCTGTAAGAGATAGTCCATAATGATATTTTATTATTATGATTTAAAGGTTGTTTGTATGCCTCATATATTCAGATATAATGGACCCTGTTTGTTAATTTGTATGTAAATGTTCAACGTTTATTGTGTAGGTTCTATAAATAACAAAAAATTTCCATGTAAAGACCTATAAAAATTCTGTGAATTTGGTTTCAGTTTGTGTTAATTATAAATGTGCATAGACTTGACCAGGAAGGATATTATCCGGTGATCCCTCTGTTTAGAACTTTCATTTCCTACAAGTTTGTAAGTTATTTATTGTGGGATTTTATTGTATTTTGATTCATGATGTTTTTGTACTATTATGAATAATATTTTATTATTTAACATGTTTAAATATGTTGCAATTCATTGATTATTTCTGTGTCATACAGCGAAAGGTAAATGATGGTTTTGGAAGCTCAAATAGTAGTTTAAAGTTGGAATTTGTTTTATTTTTTATTTTGAAAGAAGAGTTACCCATATTTTTACAGATTGACAGGTTAGTTGATATATTTGATATAACCATAACAGGTGTTAATTTGATGTGCCCTAAATTAAATCAGTGTCATTCACATGTTTACATCTGTAAGAGGTCAATATACGCCTAAATATCTATCTACCTTTCAAAGGATATCAAAAATATTGTAGTTATTGAAGTATATAATATATACATGTACCAGCAGACAACTTTTAAGAATTTATATTAACACAACTGTTTACCATGTAAAAAAGGTATACAAATGAACTTTAGAAAGTAGTGGGAGAGGAATTTGGAAATTACACTATGCATGGTGAGCTTTTCTGTTCCTTTTGTCTGTGAGTTAAAAATATGTTCGGTGTGAGCCAATGCTCCGTGTTGAAGGCCGTACCTTGACCTATAATGGTTTAGTTTTATAAATTGTAACTTGGATGGAGAGTTGTCTCATTGGCACTCATACCACATCTTCCTATATCTATTGTCTGTGTAATTTATCCACAACTTTGTTTAGACTTGGAACACATAGAGCTTGACATATGGAATATACACCTGTCTCTTGTTGAAGACACTTAGAGCTTGACATATGGTATATACACCTCTCTTGTTGAAGACCCTTAGAGCTTGAAATATGGAATATACACCTGTCTCTTGTTGAAGACACTTAGAGCTTGACATGGTATATACACCTGTCTCTTGTTGAAGACACTTAGAGCTTGACATATGGTATATACACGTGTCTTTTGGTGAAGACTCTTAGAGCTTGACATATGGTATTCTTATGGAACAATTTGCCTATATCGTTATGAAATATTACAAATGTTAATTAGGGCCTTGCCGAATGGCGGCCGCCCTATAGTGATCAGTCTGTCCGTCCGTCTGTCCTTCCGTCCATCCGTCCGTAACAAATCGTGTCCGCTCTATATCTAGAGAACCGTTATGATTTCAAAGTTTATACTTGACATGTATATTAACCAACACCAGAGGGTGTGTCATAATGTATGTTCAACTTCCTAGGTCAAAGGTCAAGGTCAAAAACTTTGGTTTTAGTTGAAAACCCCATGTCCTATGGTAAAGATCGTGTCCGATCTATATCTTGAGAACCGTTATGATTTCAAAGTTTATACTTGATATGTATATTAACCAACACCAGAGGGTGTGTCATAATGTATGTACAACTTCCTAGGTCAAAGGTCAAGGTCAAAAACTTTGGTTTTAGTTGACAACCCCATGTCCTATGGTAAAGATCGTGTCCGCTCTATATCTTGAGAACCGTTATGATTTCAAAGTTTATACTTGATATGTATATTAACCAACACCAGAGGGTGTGTCATAATGTATGTACAACTTCCTAGGTCAAAGGTCAAGGTCAAAAACTTTGGTTTCATTTGACAACCCCATGTCCTATGGTAAAGATCGTGTCCGCTCTATATCTTAAGAACCGTTATGATTTCAAAGTTTATACTTGATATGTATATTAACCAACACCAGAGGGTGTGTCATAATGTATGTACAACTTCCTAGGTCAAAGGTCAAAGTCAAAAACTTTGGTTTTAGTTGACAACCCCATGTCCTAAGGTAAAGATCGTGTCCGATCTATATCTTGAGAACCGTTATGATTTCAAAGTTTATACTTGATATGTATATTTACCAACACCAGAGGGTGTGTCATAATGTATGTACAACTTCCTAGGTCAAAGTTCAAGGTCAAAAACTTTGGTTTCATTTGACAACCCCTTGTCCAATGATAAAGATACAAATTGTTTACCACACATTATTCACAGCGGGGCCCACAGAGATGGATCCCATCTCAATGATATCTAGTTCTTTAATATACAAAATAACAGATCATTTATTGAAATCAACCAGTCGAAAAAATATTGAATATTAATTATTTCATCATGTTTATTTTTCATAACATTTTATGCATTAATTGGCAATATCACAAACCGTGCAGGAAAGCATGATTTTCAATTATATCCAGTCATCAATATATCTTTGGAAAACTGAACACAATTCTAAACTTTCATATGTCAGATTACCAGGGTAACTTTATTCCTAGACATACGGGTTGAATTTGGACATTTATTTGAAAATGTGTTGTAAAAGAGTGTCAAGTGAAATAGACATTGAAATATAAAAATGAATCACTGATGCTTTTTATTAACAAATTCCATGTGAGATAGACTTAGGACTATACAAATGTATAATTAATACTTGTTTAGTCAAATTAACAGAAAAAAAGTTACATTCACTTAACTGGGGATACTGTTTAGATTTGTTGGATAATATTTTTGTGGATTTCATTGATCACATGTTACTAACCAAAAATGTATTTTCAAGTATTCAGAATTTAGAATTCTAATTTTGGGGAATTTACAATTTAAATATAAGCAAGCACTCTGAAAAACAATTGTTTTAAAAAGGGAAATTGATAAAGGGTACTACATAAGAATAAGAATATTTATAAATAAGAATAAGAATATTTATTAGATGGGCAGCCTTACACATATACACACAAAACAATACATTGTGATTTGCAACAGAATTTTTGTTTTTTTTTTACATTGAAATGAAATATTAAAAAGTTCATATAGATATAGAGCTTCATATATTTCTTCATTCTATATAAATAATGTACATTTAATTCCAGGCAGGACCAGAACCATAAAATCATTACAATAATCATCGTCATTACGTATATCAATTTACGTTGTCTAACATCTAGACATTTAATAACATAATTCCCTAAATATTTTAGGACAGACAAATTTTCATTAGTAAATAACCAAACAAATTTTGCCTCATTTGAAGCAGCATTTTTATATATTCAAACTTTTTTTCTTTGTACTAAACGTGATTATTGTTTTTTTGTTGTTGTTGTGTAAAATAAAGTCTTATATTGTTATATGCTCTTTGTGGGTCCTTTTGATGGAAAGAACAATATATTTATGAGAATTTGTTGATATAGCCATTATAAAGAAAGTTATTATTTCTATTTGCAGGCTTTGACCTACCCTATAACCCCCCTTTGTAAATAGTGTACAGATATATCAAAATGGTGGATTATTACAAAGTGTTAGGAATTTCAAAAAATTCTTCAGAAACCGATGTGAAAAAGGCGTAAGTATTCTTAGTTACCACCTACAATACACGATTATTATAGTGTACTATTGTTGTAAATAACAGCTAATTAGACTATAGAGTTAATTAGTGCATTGTTTTGTATACATGTCTGTTAATTATAACTTATTTATTGTTGGATATTCAAAGCCAACATAAGTATGCAAGAGAGTGCCATGTAGCCAAAAGTTAATGAAACTGTGATAATAAATGCATGAAACAGTGGAGAAGCTCTGATGTATGACTAATGTAGATTTTGCAAGATCAAGATAGAATTTTTGTTGGGAAATTCAAAAATATATATTGACTTAAAAGAGCATCCATATACATATATCATGGAAATATTTTGAATTTATATGACAGAAGTTTTTCTTACAGTTTTACATCTAACCATTTGGATGGTCTCGTATTAGCCTGCTCATCTCCTCAGTTTGATCCCCAGCAGAGTCAAACCAAATACTTGAAAATTGGTATTTGTTGCTTCTCCACTAAGTACATGGCTCAGAGACATGATAATGTCTTTGGGTAGGGTCACATTTCTTCTTGTCGACTTTTACCTTGTTAACTAGAAAGTTAACGTTACAGTAAATTCCATCTCAACTAGTTTGTCTCATACAAAGACTGATGCATATTCATATTCCATCAACATATTCTCATCATAGTATTCCTGTCATATTTGCCACTGGACATCAAACATCAATTCATCCTTCCATCTTACCATTATCATGATACATTACTGGGACGTCTGTCTGTAGTTGTATTTAATTTTGGATTCAATATATATGAAAGCAGCATGAACTTATATAAATTTGCTTGAGATTTTGTAAAAGCTTATAAACTAAGATGTAAACATAATGTTTTTTTTCCATTTAGGCTTAGTTGGATTTCAAAGGACTACTCTTAAATCTTTTGTTTGTAAAAAAACATACTGGATGGAAAACACTGTATAATTTGATATTTAATCAACTAGCATAATAATAATAATACTCTTTATTTCAAGAGGGTAAGGTCAATAAAGCCTCACAATGAAACAATAAACAAAAACAATCAAAGTAAGATACTTGACATGGAGTTACATTCATGTGCATGTATGCAGAAAATTATAATGGCCTGAAACCAATCAATGAGAGTGTACTGACCAAGATGTATAAATCAATGTCACCTCAAAGCTTGTAATTATGATGACAAGTAATGAGCAGACAAATAGTGTTACATAACTTTTGGCTGACTTCCTGTGTGTGTTTTTACCACATTGTCGTGTATGGTTTTTACAGGAATCTACATTATTGGGTGGTTTAAGTTGCTGATGGAAGCAATGAACTTTTCTGAGGTTGCAATGGTGGCAACTTCAAGTTCTTAGGGCAAGTGTACACAGTTCTTTTTGTAATAACTATGAATATATGCATACTTTAACTATGGATTATAATATATACATATTTCCCTTTCTGGTAACTTTATGATGACTAGGGTACAGGCAATATAGAAATGAATCAGTGGCTTAAAGCAGTTGTTATGGGGCACCAAGCATCTCACATGGTTGACTTTAGTTCAAGTTCCAAATAACTATGCTTCTTGGAGGTGTCCCCAAACAGACAGTGACATGAATGTCTATTCATACACCACCTTAGTTTAACAATATCTGTTAAGCAAGAGTTGTGGAAATGGCAGTTTTAATAAAACAAATCCTGAAAAACTGCCACATTGTATTGATAATGCTTCATGGCCAGAAGGCATCTCTTAGCAAGGGTTGTAGTAATGTTAAAATATTTCATACACAATACATAGATAACTTATTAAAGCATTTGTGTATGTCACTGGGTTGTAAACTTTATTTGAACAGTTGCGTCTCTTGCTGATGACCATGCATACAACATTTGTGAATTAAATTGTCAAGTAACAATCGATGTATAAGTAGTTATTTCCATGTTTTTCTTTTGATAGTATAGTATGTGAATGAATAGTTTTCAATGTTAAAATATATATTTTAGACATCTTCAAGTTGTCTCAAGTTCAGAAAAATTCAAGACAAGCCAACATGCAAAGTTACTGTCTTGCCTGTGAAATAGAAAATTTTACAAGGACTATATCTGAAATTAATTCATTGCACATATTGACTTAGACAGCAAAAGTAGCATGTTGGATATATCATAAATTAATTACCTAAATTTTTGTTTTTTATAGATACAGAAAACTAGCACTTAAATGGCACCCTGACAAAAATCCCGACAAAAAAGAGGAGGCAGAAAAAAAATTTAAAGAAATATCTGAGGCTTATGAAGTACTATCAGACAGTAAGTACTTATAACAAAAACTGTCATGTTAAGTTACGTGTTTATTGTTTACCAGCTGATGTCTGAAATAAGTGTCCCAGTATTAAAACAGATTGATATTCTTGCAGTAAAGAGTTCAAACACTAATAGTCATAGTGTGAAATGATGATATAAATGAAATATAAATGATTTGTTTATTGTTCTCCTACATGTATCTTTACCTCTCTGGGGTTTCATTATTTATTACTTAGGCAAACGCAATATTGTAATCTTCAAGTTCTGGTAAGAGCTAAAAGTTTTGACAATAAACTATGTGATAATTTTTTATAATTGAAATTAAATGAATGCACTGTTTCATAAAAAGTGGTTTGTAAGACATTAAAAAGCTTTTCTCCTTGCTTTAGTTGTGAATGATAAGTAACACCTGGCAGTCTATGGAATGTTTATATGATGTAATTCATCAGATAATTATAGTACACTGTAGGAGGATCTAAATCTGTACACAAACTTCTGGAAGCGCTGTATCAGAAAGCAATTGGAGTGATGTCCCTTTGTACAGAAAACGGCAATATTTTGAATGAACTTTACAGATGTATATGATACTTCAAACGTTGAGAATTTTAGTATTTGGTAGTTTTATTTTAATCATGTACATTTTATCAAGTTGCTTATAAGAAAATACTATGGCCCATTCACATTCCAGAACTTCTTCTTTAGATATACAATATTCCACAATCTAATTAAAATTAAATCTCCGCACTTGCTCCTCGTTGTTTATATGTCGCGCGCGACATATAAACAACGAGGAGCAAGTGCGGAGATTTAATTTTAATTAGATTGAATATTCCATTGATGAATATATATTTTTAAACCATTTCTGACCTGTTTGTAAAAAGTAGTGATTTCCTGTTTGATCTGTTACATATTGTAGTTGCAGTTTTTCATTAAACCATTACAGAAACAGATTTTTCCCTGTAACAAAGGAATACAAAAGTAAATTCAGAAATATTCACTTTCAAAGAGTTGAAAAGAAAAGAAATGGTGACAAATGAAAAAGGCTATCATAAAAGCCGATAATGTCTGTAGTCTGATATGTTCCTGAAATATTGTACAGGATAATTTGATGATTGTATATTTCAGAAAAGAAGCGGGAACTTTATGACAGATATGGAAAGGAAGGATTAATTAATGGTGGTTCTGATTACGATTTCCAAGACAATTTTGATCATTTCCATGGTTTCCATTTCCACAATCCAAGAGACGTATTTAAAGAATTTTTTGGTGGTAGAGATCCCTTTGAAGATTTTTTCGGAGGTATTTACAGGACAGGAAATTGTTAATTAATAGGAAACAGTACTAATACATAATATGTAAATATTTGAACACACAACATGTTGCATTACAGTTTGAAAAATTAGTAATTTTTTAAGGAAAATGTACTGCAGTCGTAAGGTAAAATTCAGGGGAGACAGTTTTAATGTTAAACAATTCAACATCACATTTAGATGATCAGGAATGAGTGAGTGAGTCCATTCTGAAAACAAATATTCCTTGTAAATCTTCATAAAAAATACTGCTAATAAAGTTTTTTTTATAATGTATCAGATACAAACATTCATGTGGATGATTTTGTAATAACAGAAAACACAATGAAACAGATTAATACAAGAATAAAAGAGTCCAAAGTAAACATAATAAAATAAAAAGATATTACAAATTAACATCAATGAGACAGCCACTCAGTAGTATATGTATATAGTCAGGTCACTGTACAGTGTTCAACTACAGTGGATTCATTATTATTTGATGGATGTCGTTGGTACAGGTGAACCACGAAATAAAATGTCCAATGAATGACAAATTTTCTATAGGCTTGTATGCAGACTTTTGCAAAACCACGAAATCAAGAAATACAATCTTTTCTCAAGCCACAAAATTGGTAACCACGAAAATAAATGATTCCACAGTATTAATGAGCATTCCTTCTGTATTGAAAGCTCTAAATCTATAGACACCAGATTCCTAAATTAACAAGAAACATTTACAGATCACCAGGTTCCTTTCTTTAACCCTATTTTTTGAGGTAAATGTTTTACAAAATAACAACTGTATATTATATGTCAGTAAAATATGTGTTGCAACCCAACTTGTTAACAAAGTTTAAAAAAATCAGTTGAAACATGTTTAAGTACAAATTTTGTTCATTTGGAGGTGATGAGAGGTCTCTAAAGTTCCTGATAGATGATATTTTGCGATGTAGAGGACATCAATCATATTATATGAGCCTAAATGACTAGTTGAGGTGCCAGTGCTGTCTAGCAAAGGAGAATTATCACAGATGACAAAAACACATGTATATACTTGTGTATAGATTCTGTGTTAACGAGCACTTAATCAGAAAGTTTTTTGTGATTTTAGGTGAAAACAGTGGTTCCTTCTTCACAAATTCTTTTCCAGGATTTCCGTCAATGGGCGGAGGTTTATTTAGTAATGCTTTTGGAGGGGATACAGGGTAAGTAGGGGACATAATCCAAAATTAAGCTGCTTATTTTCCCCCTATTTTTAGTTTAGTTTTTAGTTATCTTAGTTATAGTTAAAATTGAAATAATTTTGATAGTATATTGTCACACATAAACTTTATAATCTTTTTCATATAATTTATTATATGTTTTGATGTAAAGTACTTTAGAGACAAAATCCATCCCAAAATTTACAGGCAAAGTGGAGATAACTCTATGTAGATTTATTTGATTTTATGTATAAAGTACTATCAAAATTTTTTTGCTCTTAATGAGTACTTTAGTTTTAGATATAATTTTATCACTTAAATTTAATATTGTGCAAATTTAAAAGCATGGTTGAATGTTATTATTTATTATACATACAGATGATCATTGAATATTCTCTAATGAAAATATGTAAAATTGAATATTATGTACAAGAAGTGGTTACTTTTCTTTCTGGAATACTAAAATTCTTTATATTTTTTTATTGTACGAGCGTTAATAGTTCAATATTTTTGTAGTATTTTGGTTTATTAACTGTGATATATATTCAGACACATGTTAGTAATATTGGTATACTTCGGAGAGAAAAAAAATCATACTTTCATAATTTTAGAAAAAAAGCACGAGTTGCTTGTTTGATGGAACATATATAGTCTGGAGAATATTGATTGAATGAGTTTTACCATTGTATGTTATAATTTGTTAATCAGCTTTGCAGATATACCTTGTTACTAAAAAAAATGTTTAGGAAATAAACAGATGGAATGAATAAGATTGTTCAAACAGAAAATTTGGCAAAGATTAAAAATGAGATAACTGCATAAGTTGGTGAAAATAAAAAAATATCTTAAGAGGAAAAAAACCGACTCTGTTAAATGTATTCACATATTGTCTAGACTAAAGTCAATTTAATATTAGCCACAGGATTGGTTGTCTAGACTAAAGTCAATTTAATATTAGCCACAGGATTGGTTGTCTAGATTAAAGTCAATTTAATATTAGTCAATTTAATATTAGCCACAGGATTGGTTTTCTAGACTAAAGTCAATTTAATATTAGCCACAGGATTGGTTGTCTAGACTAAAGTCAATTTAATATTATCGGTTGTCTAAACTAAAGTCAATTTAATATTAGCCACAGGATTGGTAATTGCATGTGTATTGCATAGAGACCTCTAAACATCTATTTTGGGTAAACCTGGGCAAACTTCCTGAAATTCATCTAAGGACTGTCCACCATTTGGTCAGACATACTGCAGTGATTCATCTAACAGTTAAGGTTTATTGACTTCCAAAGTTTTGTCTAGTTTATATGTTTTCATTTTGGCAGAAAATTTGTATCTGATGTTTTGCACATGCTCATTAGAAATAAACATAAAACTGTAATATTTTCTAATAAATTTAGGGATCTTTGACAGTATCAATCCTGAATTTTAGAAGAAAAATTTAGTAGATACAATTGTTATGGACTACCTGGTAATCAAATGATTTGGTGACAAAAACCAAATTAGAATTTGCCTTTATTTTGATACTGGGTCAAACTATGGAATTTGACATTTTGTTATCTGAATTTTTGAACATTTGGACTGGTTAGTGGTCAACATTTGTCTACATGCCTGACAGTATAACTGTTCGATTCATCTGATCGTCGTCTTGTTTTTGGGAGAACCTGGATAAATCTAACACATGGTTGTAAAACATAAGTAGATGAGGTGTAAATATGAAGAACTTTTTACTAAAAATGACCATGAGATCACTAAAAGGTCCTGGGTGTGAATACAATAATTAAAATATATAATAGCATGACTTTGATTAACTTCAGATTTCCATAGCAAGTGTTGGAAACACCATAAAATTAGTAGATTTTTGATAGATTTTTTTATATGCAGTTTTATAGTAATGTCCAAATTTCAAGATGTTTTCTGATATTACCATAATTGTCTTATCATGATAGAGTTTGTGGAAGTGAGACTTCGGTTTCCAGAGGGATATTTGGTATACAGTTTTATTAAAATAAGAGCATTTTATTTCAATGGATATTATATGGCCTTGCATATTTTACATTTTTAAAAGTTAGTTATTAGTCAGGTGTAAGGAGAACCACTAATGATAAGACAATGGTATTTGTCCGTGCACCCTCAGTCATTGTTCATTGACTGAGAGTTTTGCATAGTTTACATGTAAAAGTGCTGTCATTTTAATTTCAAAATTTGCATTTAACTACTAGTATCTAAATTACAAAGAGGGGAGACATGTCTGTGTCAACAGTTTATTTTTCAATTCAGTATATGAGAATCATTCAAACCTGTAAAGATACATATTAGTATTTCATATAAGGCATATAGAATTCTACTTACATGAATTCTATTTAAGAGTTTCCATGCACTTTAAAACTAGCTACACAATGTATTTAGTAGTTACATTTCACAGTCAAGCTTGAAATTATAAACTATCATTGAAGAACATTAGTCATATAGGATATTTGTCATGAAGAACTTGAAAATCATATGTTGCTGGTACATGTATTTTTGGTGAGGTGAGAAATTGTTTGGAATTTTGTGTTTCATTTAGTTATTTATGATTAAGATTAAGTGACACCAACACACATATATATGCATGTACAGATTTGATATTACCTCAGTTTCAATTTCATCTACTGTTTTCACTTATTGATGTTTTTTATATGTATAAAAATAAGGGGATGTGGTATAATTGCCAATGAGACAACTATCCATAGAACAATGTACAAAGTTGTGAACATGGCATTTTGATATCACACTCATTGTAAACCCTGGGCCTATATTGGCCTTTAGGGCTGAAGCCCTCTATCCTGTATGAGGGATTCAGGTTTACTATTGGAACTGGTATGAGAGTTGCCGTATAATATTCTCTTACTGATGCTGATGTTTAATGAAAAATGTATTGTAATGAAATTAGTCATAACTCTGCCTACATCAATATCTTTTCTCGTCTGTATATACATGTGTGTTAATTCTGTGCATGCATTTTTATCGTTATCTTTCATGGTGTTAGTTTCATTCTTTCAATTTTCTGAATTACTTAATTTATGCTTATGTCTCTAAAAACAAAATATTCAATGAGATAAAAGATTTATACAGGCTGGGGGATAACATTTTATGCAATTATGTGAAAATTAAACATGTAGTGACAATTACATATCAATTTGGTTTTTTATTGGTGAAAATTATTATAAACCTGGAAAGTGCTTGATGATTTTTCCTACAAATAAAGTTTCCTAAAATTTAGTAAACATAGATAATTAAGTTGTATTCAAAAAGCAATTTTGAGAATAATAAAGCTGATTTTATGAATAAAATTTATTACTGGTATTTCAAGTGACCCAATCGTACCCATTTTAGTTTTGTAATTTGCCATTGAAATGTTTTGATGCATGTGATACTCTGTTATGGATGTTAGCCCGCATGGCTTGGTTTGTGGGGGGTCCTACTTTACCAACACCATAACCAACCACCAGTGCTGTTTTCAGTCGAAGAAGAAGTAGTAGGAGTAGGCGGGGTGAAGCTCAACAGTCAAGACGACCCAGGATTGGTGCATTTCATTCATTTGGTCACCCAGTAGAACATGTCGGGATGCTGGGATTTCCTCTACACTTTGGACTTTCATCATCTATATTTGACCATCATCCTATTGGGATGTCACCTGGGTAATACATTTCTGCCAGCTTTAAGCATGCATTACCTGGGTCTCTAGTAATCCATTATGTATATACATATATAGTGTGTATTGCATGGGAAGTATATAGAAGTGTTTCCCAAAATGTATAATTAACGTTATTAGTCAGTTTTACCATTAATTACAAAAAGAAACATGATAGATGTGTATGATTTTTTTTTTATAAATGTTACTTATAGATCATTTACAAATATTGGTTTATTTTGATTACTGATATTCAATTAAAACATTTACAGAAATACATCATTGAAGAAGTTTTGAAATATAATATTTTTTTATAATTGATGAACAACTGAGAGCTTTAACCACCACTTGATATCTTTCAGAAATAAATAGTTATTTTTTTTCTTAAATTTAAACTAATGTGAAGTTGCCAAAGAAAGAATTGTATGTATAATCTTGATTACAATATCAAGTTCCCACATATTTAAACTGTAAGTACTACATGAATACTGATCTAACTTAGTTATGAAACAGGGTATATAATAACACCTTAAAGACATCAACATTGTTATTGTTACTTTATATTAAAATATAAAATGTATTAGTTAGTTAATAGTTCCAGAACAACAAGAAAGGATTCTTCTTGTTATCCAATACAATAAATAGTACTTGTAGATGGACACATTTAAATATTGGTTTCTTTAAACAGATTTTGCAACAATAAACATGGGATTTACACAATTTCATTTGTCTAATGAAGACTCATGTAATATTTAACATATTCAATGAGAGACTCACATGCTACACTGAAATATTTAAATATGATCCATTGTTTTAGGGGCCTCGGTGGCCAAGTGGTCTAAGTAGTCAAACTACAGTGTCACTAGCCTGTCAACAATGGGGTACGTGTTCAAATCCCACACATGGCAGGTGCGATCAACTCCAATCTTACTTGTTTTGGATTGTCAATTTTCCTACCGAAAGGTGGATGGTTCTATCCAGGCACTCTGACTTCCTCTGCCAATAAAAACTGACCGCCACAAAATAGCACAATAGTGCTGAAAGTGGCGTTAAACACCAATCAATCCAATATTTTTGTTTACATGAGCAGTTAGTTGATTTACTCTAAAATCTATGTACGATAGAGACCTGTTGAAAACAGATTAAAGTAATGGAGTAAAATTCCTTAAAACTATTTTCCGAGTTGTTATTACTTTTTAGCAATACAAAAAGATTGAATAATATTCATGAGATTTGAAAAATGAATTAAAAAAAGAGTTTTCAACAAATTATTTTCCAAGATTTATTAAAGTCCAATGATCTGAGAATGGCTGATATGGTTTGCAACATAATTTAAACATCAAATTAAAACCAATAAACTCTCTAAATAAATGATGGCCAGTTTTTTGGGTCATATAGTTGGAGAATTTTAAGAAGATTTATATGTACCTTTCAATTCAACTACAGGAATCAACAGTATTTTACAAAAAGTATTTTTAAATTCACTGTATGAATGTATATCCTGATTCATACCAAGAGAATGGAAGAAATGATGAACTCTTAAATACATATAATATTATTACTAATTAATATTAATTATTCTGCAAAGAAAATATATATTTATCTAAAACACTGTTAACACAGAAGTAAATGTATAATATGTAGATTGTTCTTTAAATCCTGCATAATTATACATATACCATATATCATTTCTAAATTTTGTGTATGATAAAATGTTAAATCAAGTGGTGTACAGATTCGTAGATTCATATAAAACCTGATTTTTGTGTTTTTTATGAATATATATATATATATAATAAGTACCTCTAAACAAGTGACAACTCTACAACAGATCCATCCAGTTGTCACTTGTTTAGACGTACTGATCAAATAATTAGTCGCCTATCAATGAAGTTGAAGGGGACTTTAGGTTTGCACTCCGTCTGTCTGTCTGTCCATCCGCCAGTCCTGCAAATCAGTTTTCCACGCTTTTTTTCTTCGTGCTTGAAGATATTGATTTGATGATTGGTGTAAAGTTTCATCATGACAAGTTACAGATCAAGTTCAAGTTTTGTTCCGGTCTAATGATTTTGTGCAGAGTTATGGTCCTTGGACTTAGAAAATTCACTCAAAAAATCAGTTTTCCTCACTTTTTTTCGTCATACTTGAAGATCTTGATTTGATAATTGGTATATAGTTTTATCATGACAAGTTACAGATCAAGTTAGAATTTTGTTCCAGTCTGATAATTTTGTGCAGAGTTATGGTCCTTGGACTTGGAAAATTCACTCAAATATTTCCACATTTTTTTTCATCATGCTTGCAGATATTGACTTAATACTTGTTATATAGTTTACACCATGACAAGTTATAGATCAAGTTAGCATTTTGTTCCAGTACAATGATTTTTTAACCGGTAGGGGACTATGTATTGCAAGGCAATACTCACAGAATGCTTGTTATTTCTGTGACTGCATCTTGCAATCCTTTACGACAGACAATTTAGCTAATCTGCAATCAATTCCATCCTCATGCCTAATATATCATGTACTGTGTTACAACTCTAGATTCTACTGACGAGGAAAGGTAACACTAGCCCACGGAAAGCTGAATTTTTAGTTCAGTCTAGGTGGACGAGTGGTCTAGAGTGCTGGACACAGTGTAGGTGGTGTTGTCATGATATCCCAATAGCATGAGTTCGAATCCCGGCGAGGGAAAAACAAAATTTGTTTCAGCAAATTTGCAGATTTAACATTGTTGTGCTGATATTTAGAGTAATTATATATACACGGTTAACCCGAAAAAACACCTTTAGATTTGACAACAATTTGAAAAAATATAATACTATGTTTGGTGAACTTTCCTGTCCTGTTTTGAAGTGCGATAAAAAATGTATACTTGATCAGGTTAGTCTTCTGTCAAGTGTGGTTCCATCATTTATACAAAATGATGGGGGAAAAAAAGGAAGTCACAAAAACTCCCTCATCGCTGAAAATGTTATGTATTTCTTTGATAAATATACTTAGTTTTTTGTCGAGCCTGCGACTTTTGTCGCAGAAAGCTCGACATAGTTATAGTGATCCAGCGGCAGCTACGGCGGCGGCGGCATTAGCTAACTTCTTAAAAGCTTTATATTTTAGAAGGTGGGAGACCTGGATGCTTCATACTTTGTATATAGATGCCTCATGTGACGAAGTTTCCGTTAGTCACATGTCCAATGTCCTTGACCTCATTTTCATGGTTCAGTGACTACTTGAAAAAAAAGTTCAAATTTTTTGGAATGTTAAATTCTCTCTTATTATAAGTAATGGGATAACTATATTTGGTATGTACGTACCTTGCAAGGTCCTCATACCCGTCAGATAGTTTTCACTTGACCTCGACCTCATTTCATGGATCAGTGTACAAGGTTAAGTTTTCGTGGTCAAGTCCATATCTGAGATACTATAAGCAATAGGTCTACTATATTTGGTGTATGTAATGATAGTAAGGTGTACATGTCCAACTGGCAGATGTCGTCTGACCTTGACCTAATTTTCATGGTTCAGTGGTCATAGTTTAGTTTTTGTGTTTTGGTCTGTTTTTCTAATACTGTATGCAATATGTCAACTGTATTTGGTGTATGGAAATATTGTACGATGTGTATGTCAGTCTGGCAAGTTTTATTTGACCTTGACCTCATTTTCACGGTTCATTGCTCAATGTTAAGTTTTTTTGTGTTTTGGTTTGTTTTTCTAATACTGTATGCAGTAGGTCAACTATATTTGGTGTATGGAAATATTTTACGATGTACATGTCAGTCTGGCATGTTTTATTTGACCTTGACCTCATTTTCAAAGTTCATTGCTTATGTTAAGTTTTTGTGTTTTGGTCTGTTTTTCTTACACTTTAAGCAATAGGTCAACTATATTTGGTGTATGGAATGATTGTAAGGTGTACATGTCTAGCTGGCAGGTGTCATTTGACCTTGACCTCATTTTCATGGTTCAGTGGTCAAAGTTAAGATTTTGAGTTTTGGTCTTTTTTTCTAATACTATACGCAATAGGTCAACTATATTTGGTGTATGGAAATATTTTATGATCTTTATTTCAGTCGCGCAGGTTTTATTTCACCTTGACCTCATTTTCACAGTTCATTACTCAGTGTTAAGTTTTTGTGTTTTGGTCTGTTTTTCTTAAACTATAAGCAATAGGTCAAATATATTTGTTGTATGGAAGAATTGTTAGCTGTACATGCCTGCCTGTCATGGTTCATCTGACCTTGACCTCATTTTCATGGTTCATTGGTCAATGTTTAGTTTACTTGGTTAATGTTAAGTTTATGTGACAGTTGTAATAAAGCTTTATATTTAGGACTATCAACATAATATCAATGATTAGTAAAGAAGGCGAGACATTTCAGCGTGTGCACTCTTGTTGAGATAAGTATGATTGCCATTGAGACAAATATCCACTAGAGTTCAAATGACATGGAAGTAAGCAATCTAGGTCACTGTATGGCCTTTAACAATGAGAAAAACTAATACTGTATATAGTCAGCTATAAAAGGACTGACAAGAAAAATTGTGAAACAATTCAAACAAGAAAACTAAGAGCCTTATTTATAACAAATCAATTTACGAAAAAAAACAAATATGACAGACTAAATTATAGGCTCCTGACTTGGGACAGGCACATAAAGAATGTGGTGGGTTAAACATGTTTCTGGAGGCTCAACCCTTCCCTTAACCAACTTATATAAAAACAATAGACGCAAAGCGCTGATATAAGAGTACTAGCAGTTACTGGAAGCTAGTTCAAAGTCAATATCAACAAATTTTTAGTCTTGCAAGGACATGGAAATAGTTACCTATTTCCTATTTCAGAATATTTTTTTTAATCATCTGTAACACTATCAAAATTTGCTCACAGTTCTGAAAAAAAAGCATTTTAATCCTATTTTAATGAAGTGTCCTATAGGATATGGGAATTGTTTTACATAGATAATATAGTTTAATATATAGTTTTTAAGAATAAAAAAGATTTGTGTTAAATATTAATTAGACAAATGGTAATTACTACATTTTAGATCATGAAATTTCCAAATGAAGATGTATTTTTGTTTTTAGAATATACATGAAATGAAATATAGCATAAATACTTAATGCTATCTGTGATGAGGTAAGGTCAGGTTATACTGGTAAAGGTCATCATACAATAATGACATTCAAAAGATTACTGTAGAGGACAATTTTTGCATAGACAGTGTATTATGGTGAATTTGTTGTTTATAATCCAGGACTGATGAAGATAGCTTAAGAATTGTATAAAGAAGAAGATGATTGTAAAATATGCCCCATTTCTTTACAGAATGTCTTCGTTTACAAGTACATCGTTTGGTGGACCCTCAGGGGGAGGAGGCAATTTCCGCTCAACTTCTACATCAACGAAAATTGTCAATGGCAAAAGAATTGTAACAAAAAAGTAAGAATATAATACCACTGATTAACCTTGTTAAGGTATAATACCACCAAATCATAGTACGTCACATCCGGTTGCATATGAAAAAGGGTATGAAAAAGATATTCCCTTGAAATTTGACAGTTGTAGGAAATTAATCCTACATTTCATTGCAGTAAAAAAATTCTGGGTCATAAACATATGTCTTGGGTGTTTCAAAGCACAATTGTTTTTTTATTTGGTGTTTCTATAGAATATTTTGGAAACTTGAGGTTACATGGTTACTAAAGCTTGCAGGGGCGGGTCCAGGTAAGGGCATAATGGGCGTACGCCCCCCCTTTTAAAAAAAAACACAAAAAAAAACTATTGTTATCTGCTAATATTGTATTGAATATGGCAATTTATCATATTCATTAATTAAACACATACTCTGAAATGGTTCTAATGAATCCACTCTAGTCTAACCATTCATTGAAAATGAGAGTCCGTCAGTATTTCTATGTTCATTTTAGGTTTTGCGTTAAGGTACATTTATACTAGTAACATGTATATTTGGTATAGCATTTTTACTTCCCATCTGGATAGCCTTTGGTAGTATCATATTGTTTCAATATCCATTAGTGAGTAACTAAGTGACATTGACCTACATTTTGCCATGAAGTTCAAGCACCATATTTATTTATGTACCATATACCACCTATCGGAACTAGACAGTGACATGATTGCTTTAATTTTGTACTGTAGTACAATGACGTCAATTTTTCATATTCAATCATGTATTCCACATTAAAGCCTACAATATTTAGAACGAAAGAGCTTTATACTTCAGTGTTTGTTTGTCTTGTATCATGTTTGTCGTTCAACGAAACCAGAACTTAATCTAAAATAGAGAGATATTTATCAGTCTGGCTACTTCATAATTTGATGCTAAATTGTTGAAATCCAGGAGCTTCTGAGCTTCCCCATAGACCCTCTACCAGGGCAACCGTAATTTCGGCTCCCGTTCATAAAATCATAGCCTAGGACTATTGAAATGTTAAGAAACGCCTTATACCCTAAATATTGGAATTTCTCGTTATTGGTCTACTGCTGTTAAGATCCATCCAATCATTTTAATATACTATAGACAATTAATGGAGAGAATTCGGCATAAAAAATGTCAAACCCTGACACTTTAACTATAAAATATACATGCACCAAGTCAGAAACCGGTACATTAGTGCATTTCACAATTATTTAATGTTTTTATGCCAAAAAAAGGTCAAAAAAATTTCATTCTACGCCCCCTCTTTCAAATATCCTAGAAACGCCCCTGGCTTGTACACAGGAAAAAAAGGGGTGACTTCCAGTGATGGTTATTTTCTTATATGCAATGAAATGTTATGTGAAATTTTGTCTATAGTACTGGACAGGATAAAACTTAAGTCATGCAAAGTATTTCTTTATTTGAAACAAAGATAAATTCTGCACAATTTTTTGAAAAGTGCAAATTTAACAAAGACTATTAGGGGAAAATCAATGGTGGTATTGCACCTTAAGATGAACAGAAAAATAATGTCTGATCTTGTTCTCATTTTATCATCTGTGTAAAAAAAGAACAGATAGATCTTCTAAATATAACAGCAGAATTTACTGCATAGTTTTCATTATGCATGTACCTATATAAGAAGTTCCATAAAATCATGTGATAAACAATGTCAACCAGGGTAGAAATCTGGTCAATATCAATTTATCAAAGGTACAGGACAAATATAAACAAAAAACCAATGTTTTATTACTTTAATATGAAAATTAATGATATATAACAAATAAAATTAGAATGTATGTTTGCTTGATAAAACTTGAGGTGTACAATTTTATATCCATTGACTATCCAAATTGAATCCTTCACTTAGTTATTCATAGGTAGTTATTTTAAAGAAGGGAGACACAGTTGATCTCAAGTTGGACACCTTACACTTCTGTTTACTTTGGATAACACTACAATACCTCAAAAGGAATGGAAACCTTCAGAAACTTATCTATGGAAATGTATTTTCAATATTCTTTCAAAAGGCTCTGGACTTATTATATATCATATCTTAGGAGTTATCATTCACCCATAAAAATGGACACTAAGTCCTCAAGTAGGACACCTACATGTGGAATACCAAGACTTGAACATGTCAAAGCAAAACACGGTATAATGAATCAATGTAGTAAAAAAAATCACAACTTTTCTAATTTTTGATATTTCATCATAGAAATTGAATAGAAAGGAGATAGGGCTTGATTGTCAATGAGACAACTATCCATAAACTTTTTAGACTAAAGGACAAAAATATGAACTACAGGTCACTGTACAGCCTTATGAGCAAAACCCATACCGGAAATTAAACTAAAAATGGCCCTATCATAAAACAATTCAAAAGAGAAAAATAATAAAGCAATAAACTAAAAGCAGTAATGGTAGATGGACAACCACTGGATTACAGGCTCCTTACTCTAAACAGGCACATAAAGAATGTTTTTATTGCTCAACCTTCCCCTAACCTGGGACAGTGGAATGACAACAAAGCAAAAAACAATAGGAAACTCTCAGTTACTTAGAGCTTATTCAAAATGTGAAGTTTGCATTGTTACTTTTCTTTAGCTAGACAGTTCGTGACTAATATAAAAATTAGCCAAAACCCAACATCAGCAAAATGGTAGATTTCAAATTTAGACAATATGAGTTTTTATGCCCCTGCCGAGGCGGAGGGGCATTAAGTTTTACCCTTATCCGTCTGTACCGTACGTACGTCCCAAAATTGGTTTCCGTTCTTTAACTTTAGTTTGCCTCAACCAAATGATATGAAACTTATACACAATGCTTATTACTACAAAACACAGATCAAGTTTGAATTTTGGTGGTGTCGCTTTAACCGTTCTAGAGTTATGCCCCTTTACAAATGGAAAAATTGCTGAATTTTTCGTTTCCGTTCTCTAACTTTAATTTGCCTCAACCAAATGTTATGAAACTTATACACAATGCTTATAACCACAAAACACAAATCAAGTTTGAATTTGAGTAGTGTCACTTTTTATCATTCTAGAGTTATGCCCCTTTACAAATGGAAAAATTGCTGAATTTTTCGTTTCCGTTCTCTAACTTTAGTTTGAATCAACCAAATGTTATTAAACTTATACACAATGCTTATTACCACAAAACACAGATCAAGTTTGAATTTGGGTGGCGTCACTGTTACCATTATAGAGTTATGCCCCTTTACAAATGGAAAAATTACTTATTGTCATAAAACACAGATCAAGTTCAAATTTGGGTAGTGTCATTTATACTGTTCTTGAGTTATGTCTCTTTATAACATTATAGGCAAGCAGGGGCATCATCTGTGTCCCATAGACACATTCCCATTTATTTTTTTATGTGAAGCAGGAATAGTGAATATTGGTTAACTGAAAGATTGTATTATTTCAGAGTTTAGCTTAATGAAGGGTTGTATTATTTTAGAGTTTGGCTAACAGAAGGGTTGTATAATTTCAAAGTTTGGCTAAGGGAAGGGTTGTATTATTTCAAAGTTTGGCTAAAGGAAGGATTGTATTATTTCAGAGTTGTAGAGAATGGTAAAGAAACAGTAACAGTAGAAGAAGATGGTGTAGTAAAATCACATATTGTAGATGGCAAGTCTATGGCAATATGTAACTGATGGGACCACTCTTATTCAAAGCGATTCTGTGTTAATTTGTATATAACTCATGTAAACTAAAACATGTCATTGACTAAGATTAATTTGTCATGTTGATGGCTCAGAATCTTTACACTTGGAATAATTGGATTCTATATCGTTTCAGTAGAATGTTGGGTATATTAACTACAATTCACAGAAATTGACTATAAAAATGAGTTTCCCTTTGGCCAAATAACAAGTTTAACTCTCCAGTGGATCAGTGAGTTCATTCTATATTTAAGAGGAAAGTTGCATTATAGTAGAAAGATTTCTCTAATGCATAAGATTTTAGAAAGAAAAAAATGTGTCCAAAAATAAAGGTCAAGAAATAAGTGATGAACTTTTTTACATAGGTTTTATGTTGGAACACAGAAATAATGAAGAGAACACTTATGAATTGACAAATGTATTATTGATTGATAATATTACTTTTATCAGCTGTACAACAAGTGGAAACAATTGTAATCCACTGTTATATAGGATGATAGAATTTTATGTAATTTTAATGACCTCATTCTGATACATATAAGAATAATATTTAAATCTAACAGTTATGTTGATCTGTAGATTATAACATATCAGAAGGTAACATTTAGAAAATTTTAAAAGCAACTGTAACATGCCTTGACTAAAGTACTTGAATGTTTTGAGTTTTATTTTTATAGAATCATGTATTTGTCGATAAATCACATGGTGGAAGATTTTTTTTTAATTATAGAAATTTAATCTTACAAAAAAAGATTTGCTTTATACAAAACTCAGGGAATGTGTTGAAATATTTGGAAAGATATGTACGGAAATTATTTTGTGGGACTTTTCCATTCAAACATTACTTCATTTCTTAGGATAGCCACAATTACACATAAAAGTGGTATTCAACTGTTTGTAGATTTTTACAATAAAATTTTAAAACACCAATACATAGAGCTGATGTTAATTTTCCTTCCTGAAGTAATGTTTTATAAGAATGGTCTAGTCCTCAGCAAGGACTAGTCTATAATCAGATTAGTTTTAAAAAGACACATAAATACATTTAAGTAAAAGAACCATGGAAAAAAGAGTCCGTTTTTAATTATAAAAATTTGTTATTGATTTAACATTGGGCCATCAATAATGCTTTAAATGTTAATATTATCTCTATCTACCATTTTATAAATTCACTGAACTTTCTTGAAAGTACAGTAAATAAAAATGTCACTGTGTTGTCCATCAAAAGTCTGCATAATCATACATAGATTAGATGACAACACTTGCTACATGTGTAAAGCAAGGTCAAACATAAAAAATGTTCAAAGTCATTGCAGAATTTGTGGAATGAGTGTGTGGTGTTTTAGTTTTATAAATGTCTCGTCTAAAAACAAAAATTTAAGACTGAATTTCACACAAGATATTTTGACAATTTGTTGGAATTTATCAAACATATTGCATAGACAACTGTGTATTGTTGAAGATTGTTTGTTGACCTCTGGATGTCCTTTGTTATTTTGTGATATTGGCTTGGTTGCTGTCTCATTGATTTTTGCCCTAAATCTCATTTTATTCATAGATGTAAAATTATATTTTTGATTAAAAATCGCTGGAAATATAATACCCTATGACAGGCATTAGTGTATATTCTTACCTGATTCATTTTTTAATGGGTATGAGAGAACATAAATAGTTCATGTAGAAATTCAGTAAAAAGAATATACTGTAAGCCTTTTATTGAATACATTTGTGTTAAGTTGTTTGTTGTTTCCCCCTAATTTAGATGATTCAATTATTTTTTATCCCATCTTTTCATTTGTCCCATATTTAAGTCTTGCATTATTTGTTTGATGCTACATTTGTTAAATTGCTTTTTATGTCTGAAGAAGAGCTTACTTGGTTTTGTTATGTATTTAAACTTTGTTACTTTCTAATTTATTTGAATGAATACATCCAAATATTTTACATTTATCTAAGCGCCTACCATTTTAAAAGATATATGCAGTTTTAAAATTAAAATTATGACATTTTGTCAGATTCAGAACTTCAAAACTGAAGTAAACTCAGAAAATAAACTGATTTTCAGTAAACAATTACCCCTTTGAACAAGAAACATCTGAATACACTAGAAGACCATCATGTGAGATATGACAAGAAGTGTGCTTTGTGTTTACATGGAATACTAAAGTCGTTTCATGAATACAAGTTTTATTATTACTTCAAATCCTATAGAGAAACAAACCAAAGTTCAGTCTAAATTAGTTCTTATGTTAGAAAATTTGGTGAATTTAAATATTCCAGAAGGTTTAAACTAATTTGCATTGTGTATGAATGAGAGAAAAAAAGATATTTTTGTAAATGTTATTTGTATGAAGATGTTGTCTGTTTGTATGTATATTTTGGTTCATTATATGTTTGCCGCTAATGCTGGCATTATTCTTATATCTTATTGCTGGAGTTTCTATGGAAACTTCATGTAATAAAAAATTTCTCAGAGATCTTTTTAAATTGTTTTTATACGCCGTTTACTGGAAGTATTATGGTATACCTTGTCCGTCGTCAACATGTCGGACATTAACTCAAAAAACGCTTTAACCAATTTGCATAAAACTTTGGTGAATTGTTTATATCTATTGATGTGAGCTCCCTTTCGTTTTTTATAAATTTTAGATTTTACGTTTCCGAGTTATGGGGTGTTATTCATTAAAAAAAGGGGGATTTTCCAGTTTTCAGACAATAACTCAAGAATGCTTTCACCAACTTGCAAGAAATTGTGGTGAATTGTTTATATCTATTGACATGAGCTCCCTTTCGATTTTTATATATTTTAGATTTTACGTTTCACCGACTTACAGTGAGTATTTCTTTTAAAAATAGAAAGGAATACCATATACAAAAAAACACACACACACACACTTGAAGATAGCTACAAGTAAAAGGAGAATCCAATTTTTGGACCTAAAAGATTCAAAAGGCCTTTGGGCGTCATGTATCTATAAACCCCACTCTAACTAACACAAGTGAGGGAATCACAATGATTTTTTACAGAATATTGTATACAGTGCTATTGTTCTAATTTCTTTTTATATCCAACCTTCATACAACAAAACATTGTTATTTGCCATACCTTCAAAAAGGGGTAGTCAGCTTGTATCTTTAACCGTAAAGCCACTCACTCAATTTCATTTTTAACAGAAATTCTCTCAAATTACGCCATCAGCTAGTGATGTAATCTACTACTAGGGGAAAATAACGGGAGATAATAAACCTGCTTGGATTCCTGACTAATATTTGATTTGCATTAGGTTGTGTAACAGTTCAATGACCAAACGTTGTTTCAGAAGGTGACATCACAGACTGAGACATCACTGTACCATTCCCAAGCATCTGAGATCCCCATCAGTTGTTAGCTCACCGGGGCCCAAAGGGCCCCATGTGAGCTTATGCCATCACTTGGCATCCGTCGTCGTCTGTCGTCATAAACTATTTCAAAAATCTTCTCCTCTGAAACTACTGGGCCAAATACCTTCAAACTTTAACGAAATGTTTCTTAGGGTATCTAGTTTATAAATTGTATCAGAAGTTTTGATCCATCGATAAACATGGCTGCCATGGCTAAAAATAGAACATAGGGGTCCAATGCAGTTTTTATACGACCGCAAAAAAATTTTTGCGGTCGTATATTGGTATGACGTTGGCGTCGTCCGAAGACACTTTGGTTTTCGCACTCTAACTTTAGTTTAAGTGAATGGATCTCTATGAAATTTTACCATAAGGTTCAATACCACAAAAGGAAGGTTGGGATTGGTTTTGGGGGTTATGGTACCAACAGTTAAGGAATTAGGGGCCAAAAATAAGCATTTTTGTAACTTCCAGACATAACTTGTGTGTTAGTTTATGGATCTCTCTGACATTGTACCACAAGGTTCCATATCACACAGGGAATGCTGGGATTGATTTTGGGGGGTAATTGCCTCAAAATATTAGGAATTAGGGGCCAAAAAAGGGGCAAAAAATAAGCATTTTTCTAGTTTCATGACAATAACTTGTGTGTAAGTGTATGGATCTTTCTGAAATTGTACTACAAGGTTCCATATCACAAAGGGAAAGCTGGAATTGAGTTTGGGGGTAATTGCCCAAAACGTTTAGGAATAAGGGGCCAAAAAGGGGTAAAAAATAAGCATTTTCTAGTTTCCAGACAATAACTTGTGTTCAAGTGTATGGATCTCTCTGAAATTGTACTGCAAGGTACCATACCACAAAGGGAAGGCTGGGATTGAGTTTGGGGGTGATGAATCATAAGGGGATTCAAAAAATTTGGGGGGGGATTTTTTTTTTTTTTCCTTTTTAGCTCACCTGACCCGAAGGGTCAAGTGAGCTTTTCTCATCACTTGGCGTCCGTCGTCTGTCGGCGTCGTCGTTGTCGTCCGTCATCGTTAGCTTTTTACAAAAGTCTTCTCCTCTGAAACCACTGGACCAAATTTAACCAAACTTGGCCACAATCATCATTAGGGTATCTAGTTTAAAAAATGTGTCCGATGACCTCGCCAACCAACCAAGATGGCTGCCATGGCTAAAAATAGAACATAGGGGTAAAATGTAGATTTTGGCTTATATCTCTGAAACCAAAGTATTTAGAGTAAATCTGACATTGGGTTAAACTGATTATCAGGTAAAGATCTATCTGCCCTGAAATTTTCAGACAAATCTGACAACCTGTTGTTAGGTTGCTGCCCCTGAATTGGTAATTTTAAGGAAATTTTGCAGTTTTTATACGACCGCAAAAAAATTTTTGTGGTCGTATATTGGTATGACGTTGGTGTCGTTCTCTGTCCGGCGTCGTCGTCGTCCGGCGTCGTCGTCGTCCGGCGTCGTCCGAAGACACATTGGTTTTCGCACTCTAACTTTAGTTTAAGTGAATGGATCTTTATGAAATTTTACCACAAGGTTCAATACCACAAAAGGAAGGTTGGGATTGATTTTGGGGGTTATGGTAATAACAGTAAAGGAATTAGGGGCCAAAAAGGGGCCAAAAATGGGCCAAAAATAAGCATTTTTGTAACTTCCAGACATAACTTGTGTGTTAGTGTATGGATCTCTCTGACATTGTACCACAAGGTTCCATATCACTAACACTACAAACCAGTAAAAGTCTGAAATGGCCTATATCTGTACTCGACTGTACTGATTTTTACTCGACCAGTCTGAATTGGTCTGAACTTTACTCAACATTACTCGACCCCAGTCTTAACCATACTCGACTGTACTGATTTGTACTTGACTCTTATCTTTGCCATTGAAAATAGTCTGAACTATTACTCGACCAGTCTGAAACAGTCTTAACCCATTCTCGACCTGTACTCGACCTATTTTTTTCAGTCTAAACCATACTCGACCAAAGGTCTGAACAATACTCGACCAGTCTGAACCATACTTGACCGAATAATCTCTACTTTTTCTTAATTTTAACTGTTAAAATAAATTTCTTTTTAACTGACATGACAACAGCCACAATAAAATTAAGATATATTATAAAAACAGATTTTTACATTCTTACATGATTCTCAGATTTATCAAATAGAGATAGTTAAATCAAATTATCTTATATAATAATTTAATTATATTAATTTTAAAGTTTTAGAGTTTTGTTAAAAAAAGATTTTCTTTTACCTAAAAACCACACCTATACTGAAGGTAATTAAACCCTATTAAGGTGCTTCTTGTTTGGCATGTGGTTCTTTTTTTAAATTAATTTTCCTAAATTCCTAAATAAAAACTACATAGGTTTCATGGTTACATACAAAAAATGTACAATAGTTATATAATTATCTTTTTAATGAGGTAACAACAGCCAAGAAAATCACTGAAATTGTTTAACCTTATTTTAGAAATATATCTATTATTATAATTTGGGATATATTATATACAATATATATCAAAAAGGGATAAAAATTAAAAGAAATTAATAAAATTGTTCTTCTGATTAGTGGTGAAGTATAAAGTAATACCTCCTGCTTGGGGCAAACTCGTGAAAAAAGATCACACCTGGTCCGAGAGTATTAAATTCTAAATAACATTCAATCAAAATTGCAACATCCTGTGAAACTTAAATCGCAAGGCCTTTTGAATTCACTAGATAAGTAATACACGAGTTTAAGAAAAATAGGGCTTTCTTTTTACCTGTAAAACACACATGTACTGAGGTAATTAAACCTTATTAAAGTGCTTCTTGTATGCCATGTCTTTAATTTTGACAAAAAATATTTAAATTTAATTGAAATAAATTTTTGCTGTAACTTTGAAACACATTTCCCTTTTTAAAAGTTTACCACATGATTACTGTGGAAGTTCTATTATCATGATTATATTAAATTCTTGGTTTAACAAAACAAAGGTGTCATTTTTTAAATTTATTAAGTTGCTTTATATGCTATTTTATATATATTTTAATAAAAAAAATGTTCACTGCATTATTAGCTAAACTCAACTGACACCATAAATCTATACAAGGCTTAAGTTAATGGTGAAAATTGTCCAGTAACCATAAAATATATCTGAAACATTCAAAAAATTTTGAATAACATTGAAAATATGAATGTAGGACAGAAAGTCACAGGACAAAAAGTCACAGACAAAAAGTCACGGACAAAAAGTCACAGGACAAAAAGTCACAATTCAGTTTTGAGATTATTTTTCTTTAAACAAGAAAACACTTATTTAAAAAATTAAATTTTAGTTTTTTCTTGAACTATTATATATGAAGCAACTTTGTTATTAAAATTTATTCAATAAATATCAATAATGATCAAATAATTGTTATGAAAACAAAATGTCAAAGTTGCTTGGTACTTAAATGGCTTCATTGTGCCAAGAAATATATCCTTTGCATGATTAAAATTTAATAAATTTTCATTTATCAAGGCTTATGAACAATTTCCTAAACTTAAAAATGAATATATGTGATAAAAAGAAAATATTTCAAGATCTTTCTCTGATATATTCAAACAATTGTCAACAAATTATTTGTGACTTTTTGTCCTGTGACTTTTTGTCCTATCAAATTTGTGACTTTATGTCCTGTGACTTTTTGTCCTGTGACTTTCTGTCCGTTTACCGAAAATATAAGTCACAATTCAGTTTTGAGATTATTTGATCGGCTTGTTTTATTTTTATTTTAAAGGTGATATATATGTAGGTATATAAGTGTTGATGAATATGGTGATGAAGTTATATTATGTTTATTGTGAAATTTTGGTTTCAACGCTATATTGAATACATTTTTAATTTCAAATTGTTGTTCAAATTTCTAGCCAGGGGAAATAGCTGTTGTTAAAAACAGTTCCTAAATTGATGAAATACAATAGATAGATACAAAAAATAGGTCTAGGTTGGTTCAGACTTGGTCGAGTATGGTTCAGACTAGGTCGAGTATGGTTCAGACTAGGTCGAGTATGGTTCAGACTAGGTCGAGCATGGTTCAGACTAGGTCGAGCATG